ACTCAGGCTCTTGCTGCCCTCCACCCCTCATCCACTTTGCTTGAGATAACACACAAAAAAAGATTAATTTCTGGACCACAGAATACAATTCTAGTTTTCAAAAACAGTACAAAAGTTACATGGATGCTGATAATTGTTCTAGGGCATCTGATGTTCCGCTCATTTCTGGGTGTCATTTGCTGCTGTTGGTACCCTATGCATATTGCAACCTGACCTCTGCAATTCAGCACCCAGAGATCACCAGCCACACAGAAAAGAAAGGAAAGTAGCTGGATGGGGACACACAGAGGATGTCTCTCTAGAGAAACACCTAAGCCACCTAGGCTCTGGAAACTGCTGGCAGTTTGATGCAGCTGGGGCATGAGGTGGAAAAATCATAGTAAAATGTGGCTTAGCATGGACTTTTGATCCCTAAGAATAAACATCTCCCACATGGCAACCAGAGAGGTGTAACTTGCAATCTGTCCTAAAAAATTAACTTTGATATTAAGCATCAGCCACTAGAGACTAGAAGGGAATGTGCCAAAATTTAATGGGATTTACCTCAAAGTGTCATAATCACAGGCAATTTTTTTTCTCATTCTATGTAATTTAATTCAAAAGTCTGAGAGGGAAGACAGGAGAGATGATCAACAAGTACAACGTTAGAGTCACTAGGACAAAGAAGCTCTGGCACCCTGTGACACAGTGCACATTAATGTGCCATGCACCTCCAAAGTGTTAAAAGAGAAGATCTTAAAATGTGCTTACAAAAAAAATGATAAAGAGTTTCAGATGTGGATATGCTAATTAGCTCTATCAAGACACTTATCAAAATGTCACATTGTGCCTCAGAAAAACATGAAGATTTTATGCTGTCAATTCAAAAGTAAAATAAATAAAAACAAAAGTCTTCAGAAGACTCAAAAACTCAAATTTTCACAGTTTCTGTGATGAGCGTGTATTATGCTGAGGGAAAAATCATGTTAAGATAAAATGCGTTGGAAAGGAGAAACATCAAGGACAAAGGACAGATCCTCGTGGGTATTGTCCACATTCCTTATCCATGCCTTGGGGACCCTGTGTATCTTTCAGTAACTCAACAGCATCTACTGTGGAACAGACAAAAAGACCTGGGCCAGGGCAGAGTGAAAAGCCACTGTGCTTCTGCATCAGGGCCCAAGCAGTGACTCTAAACTCTAGCAAGATGAACGGAATCATCCTTGGACCAGCACATGTCTAAAATGAAACTTCCAAATTTAGGATGATATTTAATGTATTGGGAAATGGTAGTTGAGAGAGAGGAGAATTGAAATACAACCAGCAGCAGAAGAAAATAGGTTGTAATTATGACAAAACGTAATGTTTTCATTACACCACTGCTAATAGTGGCTGTTTTAAGATGTGTACCCCAAACATAAGAAAATAAAATCATTGCGTGTTTTGTTTAAATTTCTAAAATAAAAATAAATTATGAATTTCTACCCCTCATACTCTTATTGCAAGAAACATATCACAATGTTGGTTGCTTTTTAAATTTTGGAATCGTGGAAGATTTTCTCTTCATTCTAATTTACTTTTCAATTTTTCAAATACTTTATGTCAAAAAATATATTAAGTGGGGCCAAAGGTATAATAAAATGTATATTTAGCATTTATGAGCTCTGGGTTCAATCCCTAGGACGTCCTTCAAAAACTATGCAATTTTTAAAGTGGAAAAAATTCTTGTATTCTTTAAGTAATTTAAAAGAAATACTTACAATTTATAATCTTATACTCTAGTACAACTAATTTAATTTTCATATATCCTAGCTATTTTTCTCATGTGACCATAGCCCATATCTCCCACATTGCCAGCATAGAGACTAAGTCATGGAGGTGAAGAACTGTTGAAAAGTTAGCTACGCCCAGGTGAGGCATTCATAGAGGATTTTAAATCCCTGAAAATCATAAGATAGGCATTAGTGTAGCATTAACCTCACTGAGAAGAAAATTCACATCTCAAAATACTTATGAAGCAAAAATAAATAAATAAATAAATATGCTCTCCACTTTATATTGAGGAAAAATAGCCCTAATTCATCTTCTTTCTCAATACATTCCTCAATACATTGTGTACATGTACACAATACATGTGTGTACAAACCTGCACACACATGTGCACGCGCACACACACACAAACACACACACCAGCACCGTTTATCATACCTTGAATAATCAACTTAGAAAGTGCTATTTTGAAAACTCTCCCAAAAGATGCATTTGAATATGACCGACTGAATCTCTTTGTGGGGCACAGATTGGAGGTAAGGCAGTACGGCATTAAGCTAGAAAGTAGCTGCTTTCTGATGCTCTGAGATCTTCCCAGTCCTGCTTACAGTCAGTGGCAGACATTAGTTTCATCGTCTTCACTTTGGTCCTGGTGTGACAGTACACACCTGTTGAAAAAAGTCTTGCATTAACTTCACAGTCAAGGAGATTGCATTTTATACTGTTTAACTGCTCATATTATGGTTGCTTACACTGTGTTTTCAAATAGAGAGGTCATCAATATAGGCATTGCAGGATCTGCCTTTCAGGTACCTTCTTCAGGGATCCCCAGTTTCTTGAGGAATAAGCTGGTTCTGTTAGAGGTACTTGTCTCTAGGGGGTCAGGTGCAGGGAAGCACTAGCATGCCTCCATGTCAAAGGACAGCACGAGCCTTCTATGGGCATATGTTTCTGTTGAGCAGCTGACATCTGGACATCTCAGAGCCCAGGTCACGGCAGAAGGTGACCTTGGCTCTGTCTGCCACCCCCCCCCCATATGTTAGCCCTCCTCTGCCTGTCTTCCTCTTGGACCCATCACACAGTCTTTCTGGAAGTCCAGGGTATAAGCATTTCTAGGGATCCTTTGGGGTGTGGATTGGCTCTGCACTATGGTTACCACACTGCCCAGCTGTGGACTGTCTGTCAGCGCTGTGAAGCTCGTACTTGCTGGGTGCACATGGCCATGTGAAAGAAAATGAAATGCAGGTGATGGGAAGCCAGATGCAACAAAAGAGACAAGAAGGACAAATCCAGAAGGGATCAGAGGTGACATTCAAGGTCAAGCAGCTCCAGACCTCACTTTCACAATCTGTAAAACAGAGAATAATAATAGTGCATAAATTATGGAGTTTTCCAGCAATTAATGAAAGTTCTTGGCACATAATTAGAGTTCTTTTTTTAAAGTCCCTGTTACTATTACTGGCCTGGAGTGAAGAGCTGAAAAGCATGAAGTTTCCTCCAATATGTTAGTCTCCTGGTTGCCACAAATTGGGTGACATAAAGTAACAAAAATACATTATCTCATAGGTTAGGAGTTCAAAGGTCCAAATTCAAGGTATTCTCAGTTGGTTCCTTCTAGAGACTCCAGAAGAGAAACCATCTTTAGCTTCTTGGGACGTCAGCAAGCCTCAAGCTCCCTTGACTTGTAAATATATCACTCCATTTGTGCATCCATATCCCTGATTCTTCTCCTTTTCTGTGTCTTATAAAAACAATTTCATTGCATTTAAGGTTGGTGCTATCACACTGGTGGTTGATTTTCAACAGATGAATTCAGCGAGGTAAATTCACAGTTCTTCAATTACTATCACTATTACGAGCTGGTAGTTCCATCTCTCCCTTTCCTAGACCTGAGCCCAAAAAGACCAAAAGGATCAAGATGAAGAATTGAGAGCACTCATCTTTATACCTATCATCTCTTGCGCTCCCCCAACATCACCTCTGCTACAGCATAGTAAATGTTACTGGAAGTTAAATAGCACACCATCTGCATTTTAAATACAAGCACTGTCTCAGTGGATGACTCTTCAGTAGCACTTTGGACTTTGAATCTAACACGGACAGCCATAGAAAGGTCTCTCCCTTTGATGTCTCAGAAAATGGATACTGCATGGAGCAAAGGCTTCACGAGCTGCCCCTGGTCCTGTTGCATATGTCACCATGAACATCGTGGTTAGAAGCCATGTCTCCCATCTCTTATAAGTGCCCTTTTATGACTTTATTTACTTTTATTACTAAGGTAATACAAGTTTGTTGTAGAAATTTTAGAAAATATAACCAAAGGAAAAAAATCATTCTTAATTCCAGATACACATAGAGATTTTTAACATGTTGTGACATGTTCACAGTCATTAGTCTTCAACAGTATTTTTAACAGCCTTCTAATGGTCCATTACATAAATCTCTCAATATTCATTTAGTCTATTTCTCTTTGCAGAAATTTTAACTTGTTTTTAATATTTTGTTGCTGAGGGGTTGGGGATTTAGCTCAGTAGCATAATCGTCCGCCTGCCAAATGTGAGGTCATGAGTTCAATCCACAGGTACAAAAAAAAAGTATTCCATTTTAATTTTACAAATTCTTAATATGTGGTATTTTTGTAACCCTTTACTTTTTCCAAATGTGGCAATGAACCTAGAAGTACCTTAGCTTGTTCCTGAGGAACTGACTTCTTATCCAATCCGAAAACCTGCTCTCAGCTTGGCTAGCTTCTCTTAAGCAAGCTTGCCCCTGGACCACTGCCATCCATATCCGGTAACTAATAAGCAGGAAGCATTCTTGAGTCTGTCTGCTTGGCTTAGGGAACGGGACTAATGAGGTCAGTGTCACTGGAGTTGAGCTCTCCGTGCACAGACCAGTTAAATAAGTGTCCAAAGACTATTTACCTCACTCCAAACATCTGCTATTTAAGGCTGGCTATTAGTTTCCAAAGAAATGAGGAAAAAAAAAAAAAAACATTGACAGATCAACACAAATCTCTCATCTCTATCTTCCCCATGGAAAACAGCTCAAAGAAGAATTCCTGCCAGTCACTAAGACTGGCCAGGTTGTAAAGAAGGGAGAGAAAAAAATATTGGGGAAACAATTGGGTGACTTTGTGTGCCTTGGCTGAGGAGCGTAGCCGAGAATACCCCGCTGTCCCCGCGTGACTCAAACTCAGCAGCGTGGTCTCAGTTGCCCTTGATGGTGTTAATGGGTGTTTATCCTTGCAGCTGACACAGCGCTTGGCACTGAGGATGTGTACGATGAGAAAGGATGCCAGTGTGATGTATCAGTAGAAGACCTCACCCCACCACTTAAAACTGTCATCCGAGCCATCAGGTTAGTGGCATTCTTGAACAAAATGATTTAGAGATGTACTTTGGATTATTTGGACTACTGTGTTACAAAATTCTTCTTGCAATAGGGGAATCTTACACAATAAGTCTTTTCCCTTTTGCTATTCATCCGCATGCCTATCATACAATAAAACACCTTGTCTTCATTCCACACCGTAGTTTGTTCAACACAGAATATCTTCTAAGGTTTCGGATTTGAAAAGTCATGAAATACTAGAGAGGTGACATGAAAATTGGCATGCTGCATATGTTTGTTGCTTTAATGACATTTAGTTTATTGATGCAATTAGATTTTGAAATTAATTTTATGATGATACTGCAATATATATTCTGTACGTTTTATTAAAGAAAAATTTCCGCGGCTGGGGACTTAGCTCAGCGGCATAAGCTCCTGCCTTGCAAGCAAGCAGTCGTGAGTTCGATCCCCAGTACCGATAAAAAGGAAAAAGACAAAAAAGAAAAAAAAAATCTCCTCAGGTTAATTTCAAAAGGCTAAGCACTGTGCAGTGATTTGGTCCTGTCTTTGAAGTGTAATGATTAATGGTGGATCTTTATGCTCCCTCAGTTGATGGCAGAGACCTATGAGAATACCCAAAGGCAGTTACATTTGTATTTTTCCCACATTCTTTCTTCAATTCACAAAAGGAAATTCGGGATTTGGTGTGATCAACCCACCTAGTTTAATCACTTTTGGAAAATTGGCATCTGTTATGGGACATGAAGTGATTTATTGCAAATTTAAAAAATAAAACCTCATTTGATCTTTTTTTTTTTTACACTTTCTGCCTCTGACCAAAAAATCAGAGGAAACCTTAAAGATCCAAACTAGCTTAACTGTTCAAATGCTTAATCCAACTTCAAATGTCAGTGTGATTATTTACTTCTTCTAGTCAGTCGTTTGACATCACATTAGACATGGCGTTACTGCACAGCTGGGAGTCACTGGGAAACCAGAATGAGTTAAAAGATTTAGATAAATGGATGGGGGGCTGACAGTGTACTTCAGAATGTGCTTAAACTCTCTGTAACAAAAACCTAAGAAGTTAGCTAAAACCTAGTTCCTTCCCAATGGAACATCAAGTAACAGACCTTTCAGGAGAGAAGATCATAATGTCTTCCTTAGCTTGTGCATTCTCAGATTATGCCTCTTCTCTCATAATCATAGTCCCTGTTTTATTCAAGTATCTCAGTTTGAGCAGCCATCTGTATGACCACCCTTCCTCTGAGGAACCTAGAAGCCTTGGGTGATGTGTATGCTCAGAAACCCAGAACGTGAAATAAAATGATTGGAGGAATGGAGAGGATATGGAAGTACAATATTGAAACAGTAGCCACTGCTCACCTGGGGCTGTTTAAATTTGAGTTAATTAAATGGAATTCAAACTAAAATTCAGTTATCAACACATGATCCACATTTCAAATGATCAATAACCAGAGTTGGCCATTGGCTACCACTCTGGACAAAGAAAAAAGGACATTTCTGCCAAGATGTAAAATTATAGTGAGAATTTCTACTCTAGAAGTCACCTTGAAGGTCTTTGCATACATTGGTTATGTCCATCAAAGACCCCAAAGTGAAGGTAAGCAATTCAATGTGCAAATTAATCTGACTCACAACAAATATGGAAAATCTTATCCAGTGTAAGCAGATTATGTTTCCTTACAGTCATATTTAACTGAGTTTGTGTCATTTCCCAAGACTCCAAAGCTTCCTGCTTTTGCTTCACAGCCTATAAAAAGTATTGTAAGTTGCAAGAAAGAAAATTGAATAGGTTTATTCTGCTAGCTAAGCACTTTAGCAACAGTTTAAGATTTACTTTGCAGTATATTCTTGAAACCTGACTGATTTTTGTAAAGTCCTCTGCAGTTCCCTTGCTTTTCAAAATTCTTTCTGTCCTTAATTTTTAACTGAACTTTATTATTTATCTCTCTATCTTTTCTGTTGATTTCTAAAGCTCTCTATGCATTGTTTTGTGACCTGCAGGGGAGAATTTTTCTTCCTATATCCTGATTCTTCTCAGTAGGTGTTTTTATAAAAAAAAATTCACTTCTAATTTCTGGAAAATCATGATAGCCACAGCAAAGAGTTTAATAACTTAGTTGCAAATCTCTCACTATAGAATTCATAATTTCAAAGGTATATGATTAAAAGTTCAACCAATACAATTAGCAGTTCTGAAAAGTATGAAGCATAGGGCCTCTATTTTTTTTTTTTTTTTGTACCAAGGATCGAACTCATGACCTTACACTTACCAGGCAGGCGCTTACACCACTGAACTAAGTGCCCAGCCCCATGGGCCCTAAATCTTAAGCACAAGTGTCTTCATTACATAAATAAATTCAACATTAGTTAACTAAAAGGCTTTTTGCAGAATATGTTTGCCTCTTTAATTTATATATTACTGATTTCAAGTATGAACCAGCTATTATTTACCTCTGAGATAGTAACTTGTTTTGACATATTCCTTGGAATTTAGGGGAATTTAGAGTATTTAATATAAATATTTGACTATGCTTTTTGTATCCCAGTAGCTCTTGCAATAATAGTTTCTCATTAGAGCCAAAATAATATTCAAATGTATAATAGAAAATATGTATTCCACTGCAAAGATGTCAGCAAGGAAAAAACATTACTACATTCAAAAGATTAAAATAAGAATTCTCATTTTCAGTTATTAATATTTATTAAGCATTTGCCATTGTGTTTACTTTCAAGACTGAAATTTTTCACAATTAGATAACTAAGACTATTCAGAATTTGCTGGAGTTGATTACCCAAATGCACTTTCAGACTTTTTTCTTAATTAACAATGTCACTTTTAAAAGTACATAGTGAGCAATAGCTATTCTTAGATTGCTTCCAAAGTATGTCTTTCACTCAAAGGAAAACTTAGTTTTGAGTGTTTCCTTTAGGATTATCACAGATTCTTCTCAAGCTGCCATTTCATTGGAAATACACCAACTTTCTAGAAATACTTTTTCAAACTCACCTTTGGAATGGAGAGTGCTAAAATAGCTCAGAGCGGATCAGTGAATGAGAAGCCCTGCTGACCTTTGAGGTCTGCCCAGGCAGCTCCTCTGCTGAGAGCTCTGGTTCCCCCTGAAGGACATGCACAGGACCCTTCTCACTCTCCCCTAAACTAATCTGCCTTCTGAATCCTGCTCAAGTCTTGCTCCATGCTTCAGACAAGAATGTTCCACTAGGGGAAAGAGGCACATGTTTGCCATTGTGTGCTTTTTGTTAAATTTATAAGCTATGTAATCATCCGCCTTTCTTAATTTTCCTTGTGGCATCCTGCTATTTTAGGAGAGGTGATGAGTCTTGGTTTTCTAGTCACTATGAAGACATCCTTGAAAGACGAGTCTGCAACACAGTACAGTAAAGGATACTGCCAGAGGAATATTTTACGGATCATTTAGCACACGTTTTTTAAAACTAGCTAATATCATCCCTGGAATATTATTTTTGTTTTCGTTTTGAAGATAATTACTCGTGGCCACATTTTTCTCTGAGGCTGCATTAAACTATTGTTTTTACTAAAGACACATTTGGTAGCATCAGAGATTTTTTAACCCTTTATTTATCTATAATTTAAATTATATCTCCGTGACTAAAAAATATTTAAGTGCAACCAACACATGTGGTCACTTCACCCTTTGAAATTTATACAAAACCTTATATTACTAGGAGAAAAAATTTACAGATTTAGTTTCTATGTTAATGCTTGCAAAATTCTCAAATGAAACTTAGTCAAATACAGACTTTCCTTGGTCCAGAAAAGCATTTGATTGCTGTTACACTTTTAAAAGGAAATCTAACAAAATCAACAGGAGAGCCTACTGCATCCTGGGGACAACATAAGCAAGTGTTAGAAGAATAGCTCTACTTCCACTGGTAGAAGGAGTACATAAAACTCGTCCATGTCCTAAATCAGCCAAATGAAACAGCCAACCACCTGCAGTCAGGACATTGGATAGCCATGTACCTGTCAGATTAAAGTTACTGTCTCTGTTAAGGACTAAAAGCAAGAAAATGGGACCAGCTGGTGCATCCAGTTGCTTTGGGGATTTCTTAGTCTTTTACTAGTAGCTAGTCTGAGATGAAACAAGAGAGAAGTCTTATTTGTACAAATACAATTCTGTGACTTCTTTTACAGAGTTTTTAGAGTCTAAATATTTTACATGCAAATGTAAACCTGGAGTTATGTTTATAGTTGACAGAAAATTGACATTAATAAATATTCTAAACAAGCTACTCAGAAGCCTTCAGGAGAGACCCAAATTATTGCGTTCTGTAGCCCTAGTGTCTACTGGACCTACTCCAAGATCAACACCATCCGTTGGCCAACCTCTAAACATCAAGGAACAGTTTTTTAGGGGGAGGTTGACCAATGTCCAAAGGGCACTTCAATAATGAGCCCTGGGGTCCTGGATTTTAAGGAAGTTAGATTTCTTGTGAAGAATCGAAATCAGAAAATAGTTTTCAAAACTGAGAAGAGAATATGGAACGCACATCAGTAGGTAAATCAACTCAGCCAGCCAACATAAAGCAAAGAGGGGCTTGGGAGAGATTACACATTAACCCCAAAAATATACAGTCTGGCAACATAATGCCATTTCAGTGGCCAGGAGAAACAGTAATATCCCCAGATATAAGAGGGCAATGCTGGGAACAAGCTTTCCTCTAGAGAAACTATATCCTGTCACCTCTTTCGTCTGGGTGAAAGGTTCCTCTTCTGCATACTCATAGCCTGTGCTTCCCACCAGCCTGCACTTTACAAAGTATGCAACATACAACACTGGAAGTGGTCCAACAACAGGATTTATTTATCATAGCGTCCTTGCCATCTAGCAGACTTTGGCACAGAATAGGCACTCAACACATGTTTGATGGATGAAGAAATGAGTGATTTTTCAAGTCTCATTCATCAGGCACTCTGTTGGCATCATTTAAGGAAGCCCACAAGGAACTCGTCTAGGAAG